CCCCCCGCGCTGCTCTCGGACACTGCGGACCCCCCTCTCCCCCGGGACCCCCGCGGGGCCGGGGCTGCGGCCCCTCCGCGCTCCTCGCACCCAATAAAACACCCCTGGATCAGCTGCCTGGAGCTTCTGGAGCGGGGACACGGGAGGGGACACGGGGGGGACACGGGGGGGACACGGGAGGGACACGGAGAGGACACGGGAAAGGGACACCGAGGGACACGGGAGGGACACGGAGGGGACACGGGAGGGGACGCTGGGGACTATAAAAAGGGACTGGGAGGGCACTGGGGGGTGACGGGAGGGGACCGAGAGAGCCCCAGGAAGGGACACGGGGACATTTGGGGGTCCCGGGGTGGCACCGCGGGGACATTTGGGGGTGGCGGGTCCCGGCACGTGCGGCCGCGCGCGCGCGCCAAACGGCGCGGGAAGGGGCGGGGCTGGGGCTCGTGCGCGCGGCTCCCATTGGTCAGCGCGCAGGAAAAGGCGGGAGGAAACGGCTTCTCCCGGCTCTGATTGGCAGCCGCAGCAGAGGGGGCGGGGTCAGCGCCTCCTCTGCCTGATTGGCTGCTGGGCGGGCCCATCGAGGGCGGCCCGCGGTGATTGGCGAAGGGCGCGGCGTAGTGGGCGCTGATTGGTGAAAGATGAAGGAGGCGGGGTTCCGGCGGGGACACGGCCTCATTTCCGGGCGGCGACGGCAGCGGGAGGGCGATGGTGAGCGAGGGCCGCGCCGGGGCCGCATCCGCCGCCATCGGGAGTTGGGGGGGAACCGGGAGCCCCCTCGGGCCGCATCGGGACGCGCCGGGGCCGCAGGGAGGCCGGGGGAGCCGCGTGGAGCGGGGCCGGGCGCTGCGCGGGGGCGGCGGGCGCGGGGATGGGCGGGAGCCGCCGGTGCCGCCCCGCTGAGCGGAGCCCCCGGTGCCGCAGGTGCTGCTGCACGTGCTGTTCGAACATGCGGCCGGGTACGCGCTGTTCGCCGTGCGGGAGGTGGAGGAGATCGGGCTGCTGCTGCCGCAGGTACGGGCCCGGGAGCGGGGGGATGCGGGAGCGGCGGGGGAGGCCCGGGGGTGCCGGGGGGCAGCGGCCGCACCCCCGGGCTCGTTTCCCGTGCCCGGTGTGACCGGAGCCGCCCCGCAGGTGGAGGAGAGCGTCCTCACCCTGGGCAAGTTCCACAACGTGGTGAAGCTGGTGGCGTTCTCGCCGTTCCGCTCGGCGCAGAGCGCGCTGGAGAACATGAACGCCGTGTCCGAGGGTGAGCGCGGGACCGGGACCCCCGGAACCCCCCGGGACCCCCCCGGGCACCGCCCTGAGCCCTCCGTGTCCCGCAGGAGTCCTGCACGAGGACCTGCGGCTGCTGCTGGACACGGCGCTGCCCCCCAAGAGGAAGAAGGTGCTGCTGGGGGTGGGCGATGCCAAGATGGGCGCGGCCGTGCTGGAGGAGCTGGGGGTGCAGTGCCAGACCGGCGGCGTGGTGGCCGAGCTGATGCGCGGTGAGCGGGGACACGGGGGACGGCTCGCCTTGGACCGGCCGGCGTTTCCGCGAGGGGCGGCCCCGGGACAGCCCGTGCCGGCAGCTCGGTGTCCCCGCCCGGTGACCCCCGTGTCCCCGCAGGGATCCGGCTGCACTTCCCGGCGCTGGTCCGGGGCCTCACGGCGCAGTCGGCGGCCAAGGCCCAGCTGGGGCTCGGTCACAGCTACTCCCGGGCCAAGGTGAAGTTCAACGTGAACCGGGTGGACAACATGATCATCCAGTCCATCAGCCTGCTGGACCAGCTGGACAAGGACATCAACACCTTCTCCATGCGGGTCCGGTCAGTGGGGACGGAGCCGGGGTTTCGGGGGTTTTGGGGTCTCCCCTCCCCACGCTTACCGCAGGCGCCGCCGCTGCTCCGGCCGCCTGTACAGACCGGGGAGGGACAGCAGCTCCCCGAGAGCCACCGGCCGGGCCGCAGGGCCACGGCGTGGACCTGGGGGGACATTTGGGGACATTCGGGGTGGCCTGGGGACACGGGTGGCACCGGTGACAGCGTCCCGTCCCCGCAGGGAGTGGTACGGGTATCACTTCCCCGAGCTGATCAAGATCGTCCCCGAGAACTCCATGTACTGCCGGGTGGCCAAATTCATCGGGAACCGCCGGGAGCTGAGCGAGGAGAGCCTGGAAGGGCTGGAGGAGATCGTCATGGACAGCGCCAAGGCCCAGACTATCCTGGAGGCCTCCCGCTCCTCCATGGGTGAGGGGGGCTCCAGGGGGGTTCCAGGGGCTCCAGGGGGGTCCCAGGGGGGTTCCAGGAGCTCCCAGGGGGGTTCCAGGGGCTCCCAGGGGGGTCCCAGGAGCTCCAGGGGGGTCAGGGGCTCCCAGGGGGGGTCAGGAGTTCCAGGGGGTTCCAGGGGCTCCAGGGGGGTCCGGCCACGCGGTCGGCACCACCGCTCACCCCGTGCCACCCCGCAGGGATGGACATTTCCCCCCTGGACCTGATCAACATCGAGAGCTTCTCCCGCCGCGTCATCTCGCTGTCCGAGTACCGCAAGGGGCTGCAGGAGTACCTGCGCTCCAAGATGAGCCAGGTGGCCCCCAGCCTGTCGGCGCTCATCGGGGAGGTGGTGAGTGCAGTCCCCGGGGCGCCCCGCCGGCCGCGGACGTGATGTCAGAGTGAATCTGTCAATCCACTGAGCCGCCCTGCTGACGCTTCCACTGCTGATCCCGGCCTGTGGGGACTCCTCCGTGCGCCCTCGGGGGGGTTCAGGGTCACCCCGAGCCCCCCCTGACCCGGTGCTGTCCCCCCCAGGTGGGCGCCCGCCTGATCTCGCACGCCGGCAGCCTCACCAACCTGGCCAAGTACCCGGCGTCCACGGTGCAGATCCTGGGCGCCGAGAAGGCCCTGTTCAGGTACGGCCGGGGGCTGGGGAGGGTCTGTGCGTGCTCGGGGGCTGCGTTCGGGGGGTCCTGACCCCCTCCATCCCCTCCCAGGGCGCTGAAGACGCGGGGGAACACCCCCAAGTACGGCCTCATCTTCCACTCCACCTTCATCGGGCGCGCGGCCGCCAAGAACAAGGGGCGGATCTCGCGCTACCTGGCCAACAAGTGCACCATCGCCTCGCGCATCGACTGCTTCTCGGGTGCGCCTGGGGGCTCTGGGGGGCTCAGGGGGTGCAGACCGGGCGCTGTCACCCCCAGGGGGGCTCAGGGGGGGTTTG